CATTCCTGCACATGGACCAGGATGGGAGAGGGCAGAAACCGTGATCTGGGTACCCAGAGAGAACGCATGGGATCTGGGAGTAGCCTTGGGGGCAGATGTTGGGGGATTTAATGTGAGTACCCACTGTCCCCCTGAAAAGGGCCAGAGAACACGTGGAGCAGTACTCCCAGGGTAGATGCCAGTGAACCTTAATTTATGCCTGCCGGGGATCCCTACCAAGACTGGTGCTGGGGGGGTGCGGGGGACAGTGGTCAGAAGTTTGCTCCAGAAGTTTCTGCAGCCCTCTGCCTGGAATGGCTGCCCCAGGAACCTTCCTCATGTCCTGTCCACTCCACTCCCTGTGCTTGCTCCCTACTGACCCCCCCCGCCCTCCCCCCACACTCACACACTTCCCACACTTGCCTTTTGCTGCTCCCACAGGGCTGGGTGACATCTGGGCCCATCTCCCATTGGGGCGGGTGGGAGACAAGCCATCGGAAGGAAGCAACATTTCCCCCTTTCCACCGTGGACTAAAAAAGGCCCTGACTTGGTCCCTGAATAACACAGGCCTGATTCTGTCACTAGCTCTCCCTGTTTTCAGAGAATAACGACTTCACATTTGTTATGCATCCGCTGCTATTTTTAGCATTTAGCTCTTTTAAAAAAATAATGAGCAACCTAAATAGGTGCAGAGATTTTCACATCAAAGTTCTGGATTCCGGCAGAACCATGGAACCCAGGCAGCCTGGGAGGCACTCCAGAGCAAGATACCTGCTCTGGGGGACAGAGACCCTCCATAGTATTCCCCCTCCAGGCCTGTGATGAGGGACTGAGGTGAGGTCTGGGGGCCAGGACACAGCTTCAGGGCTGGAGGAGTGGGCCCGGGGGCGGCAGGCCCCCTGTCTCAGACTGGCGAGGCCTTGGCTAGCGCCACACCTCTGTCTTGCCACTCTTCTGCACTCATTGCCTCCCGCCCACTGCAGCTGCTCCCAAAGGTGGCCAGCCTGGCCTTTCCCCTTACCCAGACCTGAATACTGAACTCAGAATCCTCAGACTCTTGAACCTTACCTCAGGAAATAGTGTCCTTTCTCTACCAGCCTCCACCACCTGATGCCCCTTCACACAAGTGGTGTGAGGGTCACAAGGGGCATGAGGAAACAGGTGGGGTGCTTACTCCTATGGAGACACGCTCACCCTGAATGCATTGACTCACCTGTGAAGGAATCTGCCTTCTGGAGAGCCTGTGATGCTGGGTCACCTCTAGGGGCTCAGTGGCACTTCCTCTCCCCAGCACCCCAGCTACTCCAGAGCTCTGAGGAGGGCCAGCCTGGCAAGGGTGGGTGGCCTTCCTCAAGGAGGCTTCCTCTGCTGAGCCCAGGAGCCCTGCCGTTGGACGGAGCTGAGCAGGAAGTAGGTGTTCAGGCCGGAGCCCACTGAGCAGAGGTGTATTGGCGGGAATGCGTGTAGCTTCTTCCAGGGCAGCTGGTCCTGACACCCTTGGGCAGGGTGTTTGAGGTGCTGGCCTGGGTGGTTAAGGGAACCCTGGAGGGGCAGGGCATTTGTGTCAAGCTCTACTTATGTTTTAGACAAGGGTGAAGGTAAAGGTGCCCCAGGAGGATTCCACCCCACCCCCATCCACCCCTCAGTGGTGGCCTCTGGCTGTCTCCCTCTGTAGAGATCTGAGAAGCCCTCTCTCAACTGGGCTTACAGCCACCACCAAGGCTTAAGACCTCTGCACCCTTCCCTTCTTCCCTCACCCAACGTGCTTGGTATTGACTAAAGCCCCATGGGACCGGTGAGTGACTAGCAGTTCACATGCCAGCTTGTCCAACTCTGGAGATGGCCAACCTTGGGAGAGGTGGCCAGCAGTGGGGCGGGGGTGGGCGGCCTCCAACCCACAGAAGGGTCTGGTTGGTTATCAGCCTGCATCCTCAGCTCACAGCTGCTGTCCTCCCTCAGCCCAGGAATGAGGCAACCAGGACACTGGTCTCATGGGTGCTTGGAGACAGGGCATAGAGGAGCCCAAGGTGCCTGTCCCCCAGCTCATGCCCAACTGGTGAGAACTCTCAGGAATGCTGAGAGTGGCAGTTTGCTCTTTCTGGGCCCTGGTGCAAACCTCATGCCCAGAGGTGAGCTGGGCACTAAGACAGATGGACCCTCAGGTAAAGGCATCATTCTCTGCATCTGCCATGCAGATAATCTGGAGCATCCCCACCATCCCACTGTCTGAGGCAATTGTGGTTAGTGGCCCACTCTGGGGATCCCACATGGAGGAGTTTTGTTAAAAGAATTCAGTAACCCGAGAGCGTTGAGCATGAGTTGCTGCCCGGCCCACTCTGTTCAGGAGATGCTTGGAAACATGGATACGTGCTTTTACCAGAGGCAGTGGACTCTTGTCCATCCACATGGGCACATAGAGCACCACGGGACCGGGCTGGGAGCCTGCCTCCTCCAGTCCAAGGACATGCCCTGAGCAATCCTATTAGGGAGCTGAGGATGCTGGTCTCAGGTGTAGACGTGGCCTTAGATTTGGACAGTGTGAGGTTCCTGCTGGCCTGATGATTGGAGAAGGACCCAGAGAGGCAGGAATCCATGCAGAATATCCTGCCTATGCCTCACCAGACAGACTCTGACCCCTCTTCTATTCTGGAATGCCAGGACCATCTGTTAGGAGTGGACAGCAGCCACCACAGAACCTCACCTCTCGGCCATCATGGACATCATCTACACATTCACTGAGCATGTTATAAAAAAAGCCATAGCCAGGACCAACAGGTGGCATGGTGGTTAAGATACTGGACTCCCACGTGACTGATCACAGTTTGAGTCCTGGGCCTGGTGGTTTGCTTTCTCATTTTCCCCCTCTCTCGTCAAATAATAATAAGTAAATACATCTTTTTTTTTTTTTTTTGAGAGGTTTTGCTATAGGGTGCGTGCGTTTGACAGAGAGACAGAGAGATAGAAAGCAAGAAATCACCCCCCAGGGGAAATGGCCACGCTGCAATCCCTTCTCCTCCATTCTCCTCTCAGGATCTTGGGCACACACACACATGCCCAGCATGAGTTTAAGCCACCGGGTCCAGGACTTG